AATTTTGAAAGAAAGAAAATTTTCCTGAAATTCTAAGAAAGCCATCACTCAAGGTTTGAACATAGCATTACAGTGATAAAAATACATACCAGTAGCAATCTTTTATTATAGAAGTAAAGTGTGGTAGTCCACTCTTACCTGCTTAAAAAGCTGAAGATTAACTGCCGTTTCCAAGAACTGCTTCATCACACTCGAGCGATGTTTCACAAAACTCTCCTCACAGAAAGTGATGAGCTCACCCTAAATAAAGATTTTCAGGGCATCAATAAAAGTCAACTGGAGAGCACCAGCAACATTAATGACATATCACTGTCTAAGGAGACACATGTAGAGTCAGCAGAAGTATCAGACACAGGACTTAATTCAAAGGGGCTTACAGAACTGAATGAGTGAAAGAGAGTCGACTACTTTTATAAGTGAGACAGAGTTGAATACTTTTACTAATATAAGATCCACACAGATGGATTTCAAGCCAGTAAAAATATTCTTGTACTGGCAAGCTTTCTATTTAAAAAACATCTGTGGCTCTCAGTATGGTTCATTTTCATGCACTCAGAGTAAATCTCAAAAAAAAAGAATGGTGTTCAACACTCAAATTAACAAAATAAAGATTTAGCATCATTAACTTTAATTAAGAGCATTAAAGATAACATGTATGACTAAAAAAGGCCATTATATTTTCATTATGATTAACAAAACAGATTTCTACTATAGCAATTGCAACATGAATCTTATCATTTAAATTATTCGTTTCTATGATCATCAATTTGTTCTTAATAAAAGAACATGTCTGCAAACGCAGTTCACATTGGGTACTTTCTAGGAGAAGTCCCACTTGGGGCCTTTAAGTCTGCTTCAGTTTAGCCTATTTGTTAAGCAATCGTGTCTAAGTGTCTTGTAGTAGCTTATCCTCTACCAGATGCTCCTCCTCCAAATCATCATGGACTCAATGCCAAGTACAAATTCCACCTGTTCTACTTATTCCCATGCATGACCTCAGAAAATTGCCACTCACTGGCTGATCCCTACCACCTGCTGTCTCTCTCATCAGCTTGAAAGCCTGACTAATAGTCCCCTTTGCAAATTCAACACTTTTATAAAGTGACTGAACTTTATGATTAAACTAAAACCAGAAATTAAATGCAATGACTCACTGATTACCAAACTTTGCAGCAATCCTTATATTGTAGTATAAAATAAAACATCAGCTTGCTCACCTCTTAGAATTTTTAACAAAATAATTTCACCAAACTCAACATCTTGATCACACTTATGTATAAGTGAAACTCTGAAAATATACAGATTGCTGCCTGATGAAAGAGGAAGACTGAGCACCTGTGCAATTCAAACATAGTCTGAATATGTACAAGATTGCTACCACTTTCTGATGAAAAGTAATAGAACTACAAAACTGCATGTGTCCCCTGCCACTATTCACATCCAGCTATTAACATGAAAATGCCTTCAAATGACATGCCTGTGGCTAATGAGTACTATATTGCCTGAACAAATACAGATATAGAGTAGTCCCTCTGGCACCAAGTTTTTCTGGACAGCACTATTACAGGAAGAAGAAAATAAAGTTCCGACAAATGATCAAAAATTAATTGTCACTTGTTCCAAGCCCATGATACATAATAAAACTACTTCTATACTGATTTCTTTCATTCTTAAGATATGTAGAAGTACTTTTAAATTATATACTTTAAAAATGGTTTTCATTTCCATAACATATTTTGTGTACTCTGCGCTTGTCACTGCTGTAGAATTTATAACTTGGCAAAAAGTAAAAAACAAACAAACAAACAAAAAACACCAAAAAACCAAACAACAACGCCAAAATAAAACAAACCCATGCCGTTCCTTTTCTGTGGAGCTAGAATCAGCATCATACTGAGTTACACTGGAAATCCAAGATATGTTTTATAAATGAATAAATAAAGTAACATTTGCATTTAGCCTTGTTCCATATGACATTTTTATTAAAAAATGTTCCATATATTTTTATAAAAAAATAAGTATAGATTTAAAAAACATTGCTTTTAAAGATAGTTCTACCTATGTTACTGCCATTAGAAGGACCACTGGTAATTTGTTTTTATTTTAATAAGAATTGTTCCCAAAATATGTAAAACTCAAAAGTAAATTCCATCAAGTCAGAACTGACTCATAGCTGCCCCTTATGTGGGTCTTCAGAAGCTGCAAATCTCATGGGAAGAGATTGTTTTTAGGTTGGCAGTGAAATAACTAGACTATCAGATCTCCCTATATCACGTAAGGTTCTATAATACTATTGCCAATTATCTGTATGAAAGATGTCATTAACACTGTAGGGAAATACTCTTTAGCCCAAATAGAAAGCTCCATCTCTAACAAGAAGGTTTATAATTCCTATGCTATAATTAAGCTTGTCTTTTGATTTCAGAGAGTGAAGGGCATATGGATGGCAAATTTCAAAGGATAAAACAGATAAAGAATAAATACACCTGTGTTTTCTCAAAAGTTGGTATAATTTAGTTATTATTCAATGTGAATTAAAGCTTAAAGAATCCCATCCTCATTAATCTTTTAGCAAATGCTTTCAATCTTTCAATAAAAAGAGAAAGTTCAGATTTGCTGGCTATCCATTTAGGATACCACAAATCTTGCTAAAAGCTTTGAACTGAACCTTTTGTGATTAACCTGTATATTAAGAATATCTGATAACAAATACAGTATCCTAACATATATTCTAATTTTCTATAGGTAAAAGAAAGTCTTAATTAACAAAGCTCTGAAGTGTTAGATATTAATACATAAATGAAGAGTTTATTTCTGTCATCCCTGCTCCATTATGAAGTCTTTTAAATCCAAATTAAGCTAATTTGATTAATTAGGTTGGGAAAGAAGGAGCTCTGCTTCAGATGTTCTAAAATCCTACAATCTAAAAATCGGGGTTATATAAAGCAATTAGTAAATTTTCCATTAAATTCCCAGTTTTTGTTTGCAGTATGAAAAATTTCACTTGAAGACATAAATGGCTTCATAATGGAAACTTAAAATAGGTTTTTAGGAGGGTGCACAGAGTCTTTCTGATGATGCAACTCCCATTTGTCGTTGTTATGTGCCATTAAGTCGCCTGTGACTAATAATGATAGTATGCACAACAGCCCTAAACCCTGCTCTATCCCTTGTCAATCTTATTGTCTCTGACACATCTATCTCCATTACCCCACTGACTGAATCAATCCATCTCATTGAGGGTCTTCCTCCCTTCTGCTGTCCCTCCACCCTCTCAAGCATGATGTCCTTCTCCAAGGATGAATCCCGCCTTGCAAAATGTCCAACCTATGTCAGATGAAGCTTCAGAATCCTTGCCTCCAAAGAGCAAACTGGCTTCACCGTCTCCAGGAGGATCTTGTTTGTTCTCGCAGTCCATAGTATATTCAATACTCTTTTCCAGCATCAAAGTTCAAAGGCATCAACTCTCCTCCTATCATCGCTAGTCATTGTCTAGCTCTCTGCTGCATAGCAAGTAATGTCAAAGACCATGGCCTGTATCAGGTGTATCTTAAGTCTCCAGACTGACATCATTGCTCTTCAGTATTTTGGAGAGGTCTCTGACAGCAGACTTTCCCAGTGAAGTTCATCTTTTAATATCCTGGCTGCTGGTACCAAGAGTGTTGATTGTAGAGCCAAGCAAACTGCAGCTGTCAAGAATCTCAATCTCTTCACCATCTGTCATGATGCTGTCAAATGGCCTGGTGGTGAGACTCTTTTGTTTTTTGATGTTGAGCTTCAATTCATATTGCAGGCTTCATTCCCTGACCTTCTGCAGCAAACGCTTCAGGTCCTCCTCAGTTTCAGCAAACAGGGTTGTGTCATCTATATAACGCAGATTGTGAATGAGTCTATCTCCAATCTTAATGTCACACTTCTATTTGAGCCCAATCTCACAGTAATCTGTTACACATATAGATTGAATAGACACATCCTTGATGCACAACTGTCCCAATTTTGAACATATGTTTCACAGAAGCACAATCAAGTGTTCTGGGATTCCCATTCTTCTCAGAGTCAGCCACGGTTTGTTGTGATCCACACAGTCAAAAGCCTTTGCATAATCAATGAAACACAGATAGACATTCTTTTGATATTCTCTGCCTTCATCCAAGATCCATCTGACATTAGTTATAATATCCCTACTGTCACGGCCTCTTTTAAATCCAACCTGCACTTCAGGCAGTTCTCTGTTGTGCTGTTCCAATTGTTTTTTTATAATCTTCAGCAGAATCTTGCTTGTATGTATAGCAAAGGAAAATTCTTCACTGAAGGGAAGACTAGCAAATATGGGAAAAGCAGAGCACCAACAGAATCCATTATAGTATGGTAAAGATAAAATGCTTTAGAGACACATAACAAAAAGACTTTTATGTTTGGAAGAGCTGCTGATGCTTTTATGTGCCATGAAGTCGACTACAACAACTCACAGCAGCTCTGTGAACAACAGATATGAAATTTACCCTATCCTGCACCATAATCGTGAGCTCTGCCATGCTTGAACCCAATGTTAAAGTCTCTGTGTCAAACTCTCTCTTTGAAGATCTTCTCTTTCTCTTATCCTTCACTATTCCCAGCATGACGCCTTTTTTCCAAGAACTGGCTTCTGACAACATGCCCAAAGTACACGAAGCAAACTCTCACTACCCTTGCCTCTGAGGAGGACCTTTTAAAACAGGCTTGTTTTATCTTTAGGTAATCCATAGGCTTCTCAATACTCTACTCCAATACAATAATTCAAAGCATTCATTTTTTCTTTGGCTACATTTACTCACTGTCCAACTGTGAGGTGCATAGTAAGCTACTGAAAAAAAAATATAGCTTGGAGCTGGCATACCTTGG